CTCACTCATAAGAATTCAGGTGGGGTTTCCACTTGTTCAGTCAAAATCAAAAAAGGTATGTAAAAAACTGTTAAAATGTTGCTCAATTGGGAATTGATTCAGCTGGGGATGAATTTGTAAGAGTTGGTTTAAAGGGCGACTCATAATGAGCAGGAGAGCAATGAAGGGTTCGCACTCAAGGAGTATTTAACCTCAGGTATCAAGGGGAGACGGGCGGACCATTCGCCTCGCTATTTCAGTTCCAGCGTTCTTTGTACAGCTCAATCGCTACTCGCTGCGATTATTACTTATGGCACGATGCTACTGTCAGTTCTTTTCTCCCTGAATTTATTACTTGCTGCTGCGACTGCTACATTCCTTCGCGCGCGGCGTCTCTCGCCGCGACGCGTTCCTACTGCACCGCACCCGGTATCAAGGACTGGTGGCGAGGGAGAAAATCAAATGTTTAGAAGCTGAGGACTACCGGACTTCTCAACTTTAATATTTTTTGAATGGGGAACAAGGAGCGTCTGAGTTAGGATAATTCTACTTCTAGACAGTTGAAGTGAGAACGGGGCAGGACCCTTAAACCACCCATTTCTGTATGCATACCTTTACGTCAAAAATGCCTATGAAATTGTGAATGGCTGGAAAAGTCCACTGCCATTTCCTCCGGAGTATTCATTGTTTTTGCTCGGTTTTACTCACGTTATTTATTGCTCTTTCAGATTCTGGGAAGAAAACCAATTTTCCCTAATTTCCTTGCTAGAAATGGCACACAAGGGAGTTTATGGCTTGGTTACTGACATAAATGGGAAGCCGGCCGGCAACGCAACTATCGCTGTTGAACAAGGTAGGTGCAGTGGTATAATTCACTTTTAAGAAAATTTCTGTTATGATTTCGGGGATTGCGGATATGTACCTTACGGGCTGGCCTGGCCCGAAACAGCCCCTCAGTCGAATTGCTTATTGATTCATTAGAGTGTGGTACATATCGCATAAAAGAATATATTGCTGGGAATGCTCAGAAAATGTTTGTATTCATACTTCCATTTCAAGGTAAAACCATACGAGCAACCAGTGCGGGTGAATACTGGAGAATCCTCCCACCTGGGAAACATCTTGTAAGTTTGCTGTATATTTAAGGAGTCTTTACCCTTACATCTCAAAAGGAAATTTTTCATACCAGCTTAGGTGCTTCTTAGTTTTCGTGTAACACTTTTTGTTCTGCTCATACCCATTACCCTTTCATTTGATTCAGCTAACCGCTGAAGCTCCTGGATTGGAAATGGAAAAATTCGAAGTGGAAGTGAAAGACGTGCTGATTCGTCATGACTTCAAGCTTAAGACTTGTCACGATCAAGACATTACTCAGTCAATAATCATGCGTGGAACTGGCAGAGTTCGTATAGCAGTCGTGGGCATCGGATCAGGGTTCGTCAAATATGGTTCTTTGTTTACAATGAAGTAATTTGCCGGCAATTTGCAGCTGTACTGGAGGGCTGCGAAGTGCAGCTGAATTGCCGCTAAACCTCAAAGAAACTAGTTTAGGGCTAATTTCGTAAACTCTACGAGCATGACCAACAATTTTTTCAGTTTTTTTTTTTATTTGTGCCCCATGTTGTGCTGCCAATCATGCCTGATATAAGACGTAATGGACCTAAGTAAAATCATTTCATAAGGAAACAGGTTATTACCAGTTGAGAAAAGCACGCGATCGCGAAAAGTACGTATTTTAACCGTTCTTTGTCGTAGCCATAAACTTTTGATCCCACCATTAAACCCATACCAGTTAGCCTCCGCGCGATACCGTGCGCATCTCATGGCTTGCGATAAATGAATTTCTTTGGGGATAACCTGGAACGTAATCGTCTTAGCAACGCAGTCCACACTCTTCCAAAGAGTGGACAGTACCATTCTACCACCCAGAATAATAGCGTCATAAGCCGTTTATTGAGAGCCATAGTTCTAGCAAAC